TTCTGGAACCTGGGCGAGGGGTTTCTGAGCAGCCCTAGCCGGGGTCGCCGAGGTCCCCGAGGTCCCCAGGGCCAGGCTCTGGGAGACTGGCTTTCACTGACACACTGGACTGCCCGTCAGGTCCTAGATGTCAAGCAGACATGTCCCCTTGCCCAGAGACAGCCTCGCCCTCCTCACCAGCTGAGTCCTGACTGGGGGAGGAGTTTGACCTCTGTCTCTGGCTGCCCCCCCATCTCCCCCTCTAATTTGCATCCGTTTCCTTTGCTCCCCACCTAAACCTCAAGGGAGGAGGAGGGAAGGGAGGGGACCAGGTGAGGGAACAGCACGGTCTCGCTTGGCCAGGCAGCTTCTCACCCTCTGAGCCGAGCAGGTGGCCGGGGCCTGCTCTCCCTGGTGGGCGCTGGTGTGGACCTGGGAGCTGCGTCCTCTGGGACTGCTGTCCTCTGTCCCACCCTCAGGGCAAACGCATCTCTTCCAGGGGCCCCTGCACCTCCTCTCTCCACTCCAGATTCACCTCCAGCTTCTCAGGGCCTTAGTCCACCGACCCAGGTGGCCTCGCTGTGCGGGACCCGAGGCAGGCCCGGGTTGGCTCTGCCTTTCATGGACCACAGATACGCACACACCTGGCTGACCCGATACTGGCCCCTCTAACCCACGGCCTCAGCTCCCTTCAGCTCCCCCGCCCGGTGTGAGTCCGGCCCCTTGCCTGTGTCCCAGGGACACCTCTCAGCCCTCCCCTCTCCTGCATTCGGCACCTCCCCACTAGGATAGGGGGGGGCATGATGGGGACTCAGTGACAAAGAAGGCTCCTCTCAGACCCTCCCTCCTGTCCACACCATGACCTTCGTACCTCCTTGTTGTGCTTGTTGTGACTTCGGAGCCCAAAGCCACCCCTCCCTATTTTCTGTGTGAGCGCTGCTCCTGACGACCTCACGTCCCAACTTCAGGTCTGTTCTGTTGGGAAACATCACCTTTGACACCCTGTCACAAGGACCGTCGCCTGTGAAAAATGAAAATAAAACCCTGCCTTCCTGCCTCTGGGGAACAGCAGTCCCCCACGGGCCCCTCACCTCAAACCCAGCGCGGAGCTTCTGAGACGAGGAGCTGGGGTGGACAAGAAACGCACAGGAACAGTCAAAAACAGCCGGGGGAGGGGGGAGACAGTTGGAAGTAAACTCTGTCTTTCAGGAAAACGAAACATGACCCAAGTGGTGTCTTTACACGTCCCAGGGGTTGACAAGAGCACCAGGAACTAGGTTTGTTCAAGTAAACCCGCAAGGCCCAGGGAGCAGATGTTAGAACGAAATCAAGTTGCTCATTCACGTGTGTCCGGAAGGACTTCCAGTGGCCGGAGCCGTCCAGAAATTTCTAGAGACAGCAGGGACACCTGTCCTCTGTGGGCAGAGGTGGGGTGGGGTGAATCAGACACATTTAGCAACATTCCAGAGTAAGTGAGCACATAAGTCTGGCAACAATGTAACTATCACAGCTTCTAAGACACTTTTAAGAACGCGGCTTACTAACCTTTCAGAGGAAAGAGGATGTCCAAGACCAGGAACGCTCGGACACCATTAAGCCTGAGTGGAGAAGTGATTCAGAAAAGTCAGACTGGCTGTGAGTAAGATTTGGGAAGACCTTACCCAACTGGCTTCTCGTGTATTTTCCTTTTTATGCCTCTGTAAGGCTCAGTCAGGAGTTTTTAAAATTCTCTTTCTAAGTAAGCTGGAAGGACCTGGTGCGGTCACTGGGTCACCGTTTCCTTTCCCTGCCCCCTCTTCGCTGGTGCACCCTAGGGTCCTGCAATGAGGAGACAGAACTCGGGAGCCTGAGCCACACAGGTGCTAAGTCACAGAAGTGACATCTGAACCTCCGCCCTCTCCCACCTCCAGGTCCAAAGTGAGTCAGCATGGCTGTCACTCCTGGGCGGTGTTAGGGCGTGTTTAACGCCGACAGGTGGGACAAGGGTCCCCTCCCCAGTCCCCATAGCGAGATGGGCTCCTCTGATCTGAAAAAGACTCCCGTGAATGGCACCCACGCTTTCCCCTCGGGTGTTAGCTGAGCCGGAGTGCACATCCATTATTAACAACAGAAAGAAAAAAATCAGCCCTGGCTGGTGTGGCTTAGTGGCCTGAGCGCAGGCCTTCCAGGGGAAAGGTCGGATTCCCAGTGAGAGCACCGGCCTGGGCTGCGAGCCAGGTCTTCTGGAGGCGACTGATCCATGTTTCTTTCCCTCCCTCCCTCCCTCTCCCTCTCTCTATAAACAAACAAACAAATAAATAAAATCTTTTTTTTTTTTCAAAAAAGCAGGCGTCAGGCACGGAGGCTAAAGGCCTTTGCAGGCGGCGTGACAGCGGGATAAACCCGTACAGGACAGCTGTAGCACGTGTTCCCTGTGCTCATGGAAATTCGGCGGAGAATTGGGATAATCGGGCTTAGAATGTAAGGGCTCCGCTTGGACAAAGTTTGCATTTAACACGGAAGGGCAGTCAGGAGTGCACTTCACTTCAGTGACTGGGGACCAGCGAGGCAGGAAAGGACAGGACGGGTTAGCTCTGCAACCGGGGACCCTGACCAGGTTGCGCTACCCACTGGCAGCCGCCTCCCGCCAGGTCGTAATGCCACCGGGATCCAGTGGGGGGCACTCAACGGTGCGTGAACGCCAGAGGCTCCCTGGGTCTGACGGAACTAAAAGTGGGCGGGGCCAGGCAGCTTGTGGGGTCAGAAGGTCGATCCCCGGTCAGGGCACAAGCAAGGACCAAACCAATGAATGCTTAAATGAGGGGAGCGACAACTCTCTCTCTCTCATAAATAAACAAGTAAAAGTGAGGCTCTTGTCCTGGAAGAGGGGGGGTAAAATAAGACAGGCTCTCTCCCGCAGAATGTGCACACTGTTAAACCTCTTTGAAGGATAATGTCACGACCTCAGCAGTGTATCTGCTGTCCGCCCCCCAGATACAGTGAAATACGTGCACGAGGATGTAGACACGAGGGTGGAGGTGTGAGAACACCCACCGCGGCACAATTTCCAACCAGAAACGTCTAGGGACGTCCGTGGGTCTGTCTGTGGGGACTGGCCCCTCCTCTGTGCTTCGAACCCTGCACCCTGAGCAGTGAAAGGATCTGCTCTCCGCACACGGGGAAGCTTGGGCTCCGCGGAGTCTCCTGCGGCCCCCAGAGAGGGCGAGGTCCCTCCGCGAGGATGAGGCTGGAGTGCCAGGCGGAGAGCCTGTGGCCGGGCACAGGGTGGATGGGCTCTGTGAGCCACCAGAGGAGCGTGGGCTTCCCCCAGGGGACTGATTCGAGCCCCCAGAGAAAACCCGCAGCGTAGAACCGAAGGAGCGCCCTCTGTCCACGGCGTAAGGTCGAGGCACGAAACCGAGGCCCCGGGAGAGCAGAGCGAGGGAGGAAGGCGGGCACCAGGTGGGACGCGCCAGGCCCTCTGCTGCTGTCCGATGGAAGGCTCGGGCTCCTTACCTGCCCTCTGGTGCAGGCACCCTCAGGTTTGGGGTCTGACACACAGCGCTGATCGGAGAAGCAGACAGAGGCAGCTTCCTCCCAGCCCTCGGCCCCAGACTCTTGCTGCGTTTGCTGCTTGGGAACGAGCCCGAGACCCACTGGCCTGGCTGGCTGCCTGCTTCCTGAGTGCAGTTCTGATTGGAGACAGGTGACGGCTGGAAGGACATTCTATGGGACAGCCAGCCCCCCCCAGCTCTCTTCAGGGCGGGGGGAGTCTAGTGCCCTTGTTTCCTGTCTTACAAAATAACCAACTGATTCCTTTTTTATGACTTGAGATCCTTGATCGCTAAGCCTCTCGGCACTAACGCTGCTCCCTTTCTGTGTAGATGGGGGTGGGGCAAGGGGAACAGGGTCAGAAGAAGGTGTATGGTGGGGCTGGCCCAGCAGGGCTCGCTGGTAGTGGGGTTCTCAGAAGTGAGACGAACGTGGACAGGGAAGCTGGAAGGCAAAGCCACCAACCTCCGGTCACCCAGAACCCAGGCCCGGGCCTGCCTTCTCAGCGATAAGAATGTGCCCACTGAGATCCATTCACTCAATTCTTCTTTTCCAATTTTAAATGGGCAACCCCCCCCCCCAGTCAGGCTCACTGATGCCCCGGTGAAGGAGGCTTCCAAGTACCCGCCCCAGGTAGCCAACAGGTGAAAGGCCTTCCCAGCGAGACTTCCTGTTCCAGTCCTGATCTACCACCCATGATCGTCCCCTGCCACCTTCTCCCCGAAACACCCCCTGCAGCACCCATAACACCCACAGTCCCCCGGGCACTCCCAGTTATGTGCAGCCCTCGCTGGGGTCCTGCCTGTCTCCATGACACGGCGGCGTCCTCGATCCGTTCCTCCTCCCCACTCGGAGGCGTCTTGCGTGTCCGCCACAGCTCCCCCCCGTTTCACTGTGATTCCGGGGTGCCCCACCCCCTCCTGGGTCGTTCCAGTGACTCGGGAATAACACGGGGAAGGACAATACCGAGAAGAGTGTGACGAAAGGACTGGGTGCTCTTCCACTTAATCGCTCACAGGAACTCGGGAAAGCCGGTTGTGGCTGCCCATCTACCAAGTTCAAGTGAAGAGAGGAGGAGGGGGTTGCTGTCCATTCTAAGGGAAGCTCACTGGGGAAGGGCACAGACCCAGTGAAAACGAGAGCTGCCGAGCGCAGGTCCCACGGGGAATCGGTGGCTCCAGAAGGCAGATGGGGGTCGTGAGAGCAGGCCCACAGGGAGACACCCCAGGACCAAGGTGGACATGGCCTCTTGCTTTTTCCCTTCAGGTGACAGTATCGTCACGGCGGGGGGGGGGGTGACGGGGTGTGAGTCTAGCTGTACTGGTGCTGCAGTGGCTCTTCCAGAAGGAAAAAAAAACTGCTTAAAAACTAGAATTCAGCGATTTTGAGGATCTGTCTCAAACTTTCCTCAAAGACGTTTCTGGAAGCCGTGGCTCCACTTGGTGGTAACTCACGGCTGACACGAGCAGGGCCTGCCTGCTGCCACCTGCAGATAGGATGTCCACCCCCCTGGTCACGCAGCACTGACCCCTATAACCACCCCCACATATGGAGACCCACACGGGTACCTTTCAGCCTCTGAAACTAAACCAAACCCAGAACTTTCAGGGTATAAGTCCATCAGAGATAGAACGGACTGTCTTTTCAGAATTAGCACAAAATGATCAATGGTTACTCCTTGACCCTGACACGTCCCAAAGGACTCAGCTTCCTCAGTGACCTCAATGCCAGCGAACTACCCGGACCTGAATTGCGCCCGCGGTGGGCTGCAGGAAACGCTCAGGGGCCCCGTTAACTCCCAGACACAAGCCCCGCAGCGCACACGGGCCGCCGCTTCCTTCCTGCGGAGCAGAAGGAAGTGATCAGAGGGGGGCCTGCAGCTCAAACACACGCCAGACCCACTGTGGCCACCACACTTTATGCGCTTCTGAAAAACCGCAGAAAACAAAGGCCACAAACAGATGGCTTTGCAAGGCCTCAGGTGACAGGAAGCAGGAGAGGTGGGGACAGACGGGCCTGGTGAGGGCAGGGGCTGTCCCTCAGCTCCCCACAGTGCCAGTCTCCGGGACTCCCTGGGTCCCCGCCCAGTGAGCGGAGGGTGTTTGGAGTGCCGCCCCGAGCTCGGGGAAGGCCCGAGGGTCCCTCATGTCCCGGACCACCCGGCTCAGAAGGCCCTTGAGCAGCCGCATTTCTCGAAGCAGCACGTCCACGTCGGACTGCAGGGCCCCGGCAGAATGTCCCAGGGGCTTCGGTGGCTCGCATCCGGCAGGCGCTTCGCTGGGGCCTCCGCCCGCGGGGTCCCGCCCCCCGGCTGAAGTGGCGTTAGGGACGGAGATGACCGCCGGGACTGACGTGGACACCAGGGGCTTTCGAAAGGAAAGAGGCTTGTTCCCAGGCGCCAAGGGTGCGGCCTGCGGGCCCGGAGCAGCGGTGGACGTGTCCCGAGATGGCCCTGCGGGACGCACACCACGAGACGCGCGGGCTGAGTGGGGGGAGAGAGCCGGCGCGGGAGGCAGTGCAGGTGGGAGTGGGGGGAGGGGACGCGCAGGACCGGGACGGAAGGGGGCTCAGGAAGACTGGGGTGCAGGTGCGCGACTCACCGCGCCCAGGCAGTTGCAGCCACGCGCTGCGTTTCCGGACGCTGCGGGAGGCCGTGGCTGCCTCGCACCAGTGGGACTCCAGCTCATCGGCCTCGGACTCGGGGACCCTGTACTCCGCGCCCCAGTCGAAGCGGCGCACCACGCGGCTGTACTTGTAGAAGGCGAACTGCAGCGGCACCGCGCTCTTCCGCGGGTGCAGGCGCGTCTCACAGCGCACGACCACCCCACCGGCCTCCGCGCGGCCCGCCGCCTTCAGCACCGGCGCCGGGAACAGCTCTGCGGAGACATTGTGGGCGGAGCGCGCAAGTGAAGCCGGAGCCGGCGTCCCAGGAGCCGGGGCGCGCAGTCCCCAGCCCCCGACACTGCTCTCCTTCCGGTGCCCCGCTAGGGCTCCTTGCCCGCCGGGAGACCAAAGGGCGGGTGGGAGGAAGGGCTCCTGAAACGTGGCAAGGAGTCCACGAGGGAGGGAACACCCAGCTCGGGCTATCCGCGGAAGCGGGTCACTGCGCCTGCCTCGCCCTAAGTCCCACAGGGATCCCCGCCATGGCCGCCGCCCCCTACGTGGGGTCCCCACAGTAGCAAGAGCTGGGGTGTGTGTCGTGGGGGAGGCGACACCCGTCCCCACGCCGGCTGCTTGTCAAGTGCGCCTTCACTGCAGAGCAGGAAAAGAAAGCGCGCCTGGTCCAGTAGAGAAACCGCCACCCGGCAGCCACTTGACCCTCCTCCGCCCCTCCTTTCCCCGCCTGGTTCCCGACCCAGAATTTCCCAGCGCTCGACCGCACCACCCTCAACCCCGGGCCCCAGGTCTCCCCACCTTGCACGGTCACGGCCACCTTGGAAGAGAACATGGGCGCACTCTCCACGGGGATGCGCATGGTGCCGGAGCACTGGTAGCGCCCGCTGTCGCTGGCGCGCGCCTGCGGCACCGTGTAGTTGGCGCTGGAGTGGAAGTAGCGCACGGCCTGGCCGTCGCGGTAATAGTGCAGCTTGTACACCTCCTTGTCGTACCAGCCGCGGCAGCGCAGGACCAGCGGCTCGCCCTCGAAGACCGCGGCGTAGGGCACTTGCAGAATCAGCCAGTCTGCGACAGTCACCACAGAGGGCCCTGGGTTCCCGCGCTCCTCCGCCTCCCTCCCACTCCCAGCTGCTCTCCTTTGCCTCGCGCCTGCAGACTCCACCTACTAAGCGGCTGGTGAGTGGCAGGGAAGGGGCGGGGGCCAAGATGCCTGAGACTTGGTTCCAGCCTCAAAGAGAAAGGCCCACTGGCAGCCAGGTTAACCTTATCAGGATGTGGGGGCCTTCCTACCTGTCCTCTGCTTATCTCCCCTCTGCCCCTTTACCTCCCCACTGGCCACTCCTGTGCAGGTGAGTCCTGGAGAAACTGGACCCTGCTCAGAGCCAAGAGCTTTGTACCTGCTGCCTCCTTCTCCCATTCGGTCGAGGCCCACCAGTCCTGCAGGTCAAAGCTGAGACCCTGTCTCCTGCGGAAAGCTCCCTGACCCCCGGACGGCCCGAGGCACCTCCCACCACACCCCGTGTTCACCAACACTGGCACAGCTGAGATCGTGGGGGACGCACTGCAGGCCTTTCGCACGGAGAAGGAATTCACAGGCACCGGCCGCAGCCCCTGTGCATCCTGGTTCCACGAGCAGCAGCAGCGGCGGTGGATCTCGGCCAGTGCCTCACCCACACTCACCAAAATTGCCAACCGAGAAATGCGGTGTGTGGGTGCCGGTCTTTGCACTGAGTGATGGTCATTAAGTTCTGGGCACCGCTGTAGCCCACGGGGCCCAGGGGACCTAACATTCCCCACAAGTAGCCAGTACAGGGCCCCGACAGACACATTTTCGTCATTTCTCTTATCCTGTAGAGGTCCCCGGGGCCAGTGTCCCCGTTGAGCCCTAGGCAGCCACGTGGGCCTGTTTGGATGAGAGTTCTGACCACGGGCTCTGGCCGCCTGCTGCCTTTCTGCTTCCACAGCCTGTGATTCATGCTTGGTCTTGACGCCACTCGGTGTGGGCGGCGGGGACACTGGCCCTGCTTACCGATGGCAGGCACAGAGGACTGTCAGCCCAGCGAGACCCTGCAGCTGCGCTGCCCGCCGGGGACCTCGGGCCTGCTTTGCGCAGCCCGTCCCCACCCCCACCCCACGGCCGGTTCTCTGACCAGCGTCCTGGGCCCTCAGGGCCTCTGCTCCTCAGACCCTCGGACCCAGGCCCCTAAACCAGCAGCACTGTCCTTCCGCCTCCCACGGTGGCGGGAGCCTGAGGGGCCTTAGGGACAGGACATAGTGTCATGCACCCCCTTCTCTGGAGACTCAAGACGGCCCCCCTTTCCCGCCCCCATGGCCGTGGCCCAGCGTCCCCGCTGACGGGACAGCCAGCGTCACCAGGGCAGCCACGTTCTCTCCCCGCCCCCACCCCCACTCACCACTGGACACAGAGAGGTGGACTGGGTCGCTGACCGGCGCCCCCCGGGTCTGGCAGCGGTACGGCCCCGGGGCCTGCACCTGCACGGTCCTCCCGTGAGAAGGCAGCAGCAGGTGGCCCAGGTACCAGAGGGTGCTGACCGGCCGGAGCTCCAGGGCCAGGGGGTGGTGCCCGTCACAGCGCAGCGTCACCCGCTCTCCCTTGAAGATGGTGGTCCAGGGCGGCTGCAGGGACAGCGTGGGCTTCTCCAGAGCAGCTGGGAGCGCGTGGCAGGGCCGCACGGGGAGGGAGACCACGGTGAGGGCCCCGAGGCTGTGCTCTCTGGGCAGGAAGTCTCGGGAAACCCCAGCTTCCAGGAGCCGGCCCCCCAGGAGAGAGACCACGTGGGGCTACTGAGTGCCAGTCCCCAAGCCCCCCGGTGACACCCCCGGGTCAGTGCCGGCAGGCAAGCCGAGTCGCAGGGATGGTGGCTGAGTGGGAAGAGGCGGGGGGTCTCCCGCAGCAGCCGAGGGGTGCGGGTGGGGGAAGGGCCCCGGCAGGTCACTCTGGGGTTGAAGGGAGAGGTGTCGAAACTTGGGGCTGAGGGGGCTGGGGACTCACCGGCTTGTCCACTGCTGGGAGCTGCAAAACGGGAGTGAGAGGAGGAGGAGGAAGGAGGTGCTGGAGGTGAGGAGGGGCGCCCTGACCACAGAACAGACTCGGCGGAACCCAGTCCTGCTTTTCCTCTGCCTCAGTTTCTCCAGCTCGGAGAAAGCTCCCTCCCCCTTGTCCCTCCAAGACAGTGAAACGGCTGGAGTGGGGGATGGGGTGGCCCCGGCACACACACACGTGCACACACGCATGCACACCCCAGTCCCCTGCCCCGTCATGGACTCACCCAGGAGCAGGAGGGTTGCCAGAGCCCACATGACAGGTCTGCCTGCGGCCGCTGCACCGAAAAGGGAGGCTGCCTGGAGGGGCAGCAGAGGAGGGGCCGGTGCAGACCCCTGGGCGCCGCCGGCCTGTCAGCTGCCAGTGGGTTGCGGGGAGCAGGAGCCAGGCTGCATAGGTGTCAGCCCTCAGGTGCCCCGCCGACCCCACCTTGCAAGAGCGCCCCTACATCTCAGGGCAGCCGCACGGTCTGTGCCCCGCAGCCCAGACACTAGCAGTTGACCCTGCCGCCCGCCGTCCAGCCAGCCCCGTGGGCCTCCGCTGGGGAGGCGCAGCCTCCAGGCCAGCAGACCCCCGAGGACAGACACTGGTGTGCGGCTTCGTGAGGCTGACCTCCCTCCAGGGAGTGGACAGGAAGACACGTCGCGGCCTCCCAGTCGAGGAGAGAAATGGAACGAGTTCCCCGTCCTCCCCCTTCCTGCGGCCCTAAACCCTCAGAAGCTAGAAACTCTTCTTTCCCGCAGTCGCCTGGCCCTGTGGCCCCTGCACCCACCGAGCCTTTCTTCCTGCTCCTCCTACCCGCCCCGCACCCCCCCAGCCACGCCTGCCGACGCCCCTTACCCGTGGCACAGAAGTCCCTACACTGGCCGTCAGAGACGCCGTGCATGCGACCTCCTGGCTTTCCGAGCCACGTGATCCGCCCTGAGCAGTGGCGAGCCGGTGTTCTCGGGTAAATAGTTAATGAGTTTTCCAGTCTCGTAGTGTATCTGGTGGGGCTGGGTCCTGTCCCCGCCTGCGGCCGCCCAACACGGGCACCTCCGCCCCTGGGAGCCCTGGCCCCAAGGAGACCATCAGGCCACGCCCACTCTGGGGAAGCCCGTCCCCTCCCCTCCTGCCTGGGGACACCCAGGGCTGCGCTCTGAGAATTCCCACAGAGTGTCTCCTGAGGTGCTGGCCCTCGTCACGCATGCAAAATGCTCCTGGGACAATGGGACTGGTCGTTTCAATTCTGGGGCCACTTCCAATCCTGTGCTGAGAGCAGCTTTTGATGGGAGAGGGATGGCGTCCCCGAGTCTGGAAGGCAGGGTGGGCAGTGCTCCATCAGGGCCTGGGAGCTGGGAGGGAGGGAGGAGCCGAGTGCTGGGGACGGAGACCAGGAACTGCCTGCTCTGGGACTGCACCCCCCCCACCCCCCCCACCCCCCCCCACCCCCGCCTACCTCCGAGTCCCCGCCCGACGGTGTGGGCTCCCCGCAGCCCTCGGGGGCTCACCCACACCAGGTGACTCCCATCTGGCTTCTCGTCACTTGGAGTGCAGCCTCTCGGCCAGATCCCACGAGAAATCGGGTCTCGGCCCAAACTCACAAAGCACACGGCCGTCCCTGGAAACCTCCAGGAGCACCAACAGGGCTCACCTCACCCAGAGCTCAGAGTTTGGCTCCAAAACTCCCCCCCCCAACATTTCTGCATTCTTGGCTCTCTTCCAGATCACGTGTGACGGACACCATGTCCCATGCCTCCCAGATGTCACTTCATAAACATCCAGTGTGATTCCATCCCCTCCTTTGTTTTTTAAATGATTTTAGAGAGAGAGGAAGGAAAAGAACGAGAGAGAAACATGGATTTGTTGTTGCGCTTAGTGACGCATCATTGGTTGACTCTTGCGTGCGCCCTGCCTGACCAGGGATGGAACCCGCAACCTTGGCGTGCAGGGGACGAGGGGTGACCCTCTAACCCATGGAGCCACCCGGCCAGGGCCCGTGCTCTCGTTTCTTTGTGGCTTGTCTGGACAGACACGTCTTTCCTCAGTCACCGAGGGTCACCACCAGCACAGAGGAGTCGGCGCAAGGAAAGAGGAAGCGGGTGACACCCCGGGGCGTGGGGCACGTGGGCTGTGGTCAGCGCAGAACCGCACGCGGCCTTTCCGACCAGACGCCTCTGTGGGGCCTGGCTGGCCGGCCCCCACGGCCTGGGAGTGGACGGTCGCAGGCCAAGCACAGGGAAGGGGTTGGTGCGGCCCCAGAGAGAGTCGTGTGTGTGTTTAAAGAATATCAGCTCAGAGACAAAGTCGTCCAAACAAGCTGTTGCAGCCCCAGCACAGCTGGCTCCCCTCGGATTTCCGGGTCCAGAGGAGCCTGTGGGGGCTCCAGACTCTGCTGCATCTTGGGCGGGGTGCGGGGGAAGCAGTCCACTGACTGGTAGGCAGAGATGCTGACTTGTGTGCGTACCTGACAGATCGTGACCTCGGGCAGTAGCAGAGCCACCTCACCCCTGCGCCGGCGTGTGATTAGTTAGTATTTGCTGAGTGAGGCTGGAATGGAGGGAGGGAGCGGAGGAGGCGGAGCACCCCCCACCCCCCACCCCCGCAGCCGGACACCAGGCTTCTGCCAGGCCGGGGCTTCCGCCCCCGGCACCGCGGACGTTTGGAGCCAGACGACCCTTCCAGGTGGGGGCTGCCCTGTGCATCGTAGGGTGTCAGCAGCACCCCTGTGTTCTCGATAGAAGACAGTGGCACCCCCCCAAAAAAACTGACATCCCAGAGGTCTCCAGACATTCCCAAGCACCCCCTGGGCCAGTGGGGAACCATCTTATTGCTGCCCTTCAAGCACCAGACCCTGGGCAAGGGCAGGGAGTGGACGGCTGGACTCCACTTGCCAGCAGGTACAAGTTCACTGGCGCTCACCCACCTCCAGGGCTGGACCAGGGCTCCGGACGCCCCAGAGACGCCTCCGCGCACGCGGACAGGACAGAGGGAAACGAGAATGCGGTTTATTGGGGGGGGGGGGCTGGGCAACACTACAGGCCAAAGGTTCACTTGCGTTTGGCAGGACCCTTCCTGGTCTCCAGCTTCAGGTGGCCGGACAAGTCCCTCAGCTCCAAGACCAGGTGACCAAGGAGCGCTCTCACATCCTGCATTTGTTTGAGGAGGACCCCCATCTGGTGGTGCAGGTGGGGGTCAGGTGCCTGCAGAGGGGAGGGCGGTGGAGGCGGAGGGCCGAGGGGCTTGGCAGCAGGCGTCCCCGGAGCCGGAGCCGAGGACTTCGGAGGAGCTGGGTTGGAGGTGGCCGGCGCCACAGGGCCAGAGGGACCTGGGTGGGGTGGGAAACACACACACCTGTGCCCACGGAAGCCTGGCTGTGGCCCCACCCCCAGTTTCAGGTCTGGGGCCCGGGGCGGCAGAGCCATAAAGCCCCTCCAGTCCCTCCGGGCCCAAATCTGAGCCTGTGGCTGGGCCCCTCAGCCGGACAGGAGCGCTCCCCCTGAGTGGCGTGTGCCATGCATGCAGTTCCTCGTGCTGTGCATTTGGGGGACACTCTGGAGGCCCCCGAGTCACCTCCCCTTCAGGATGAGCCCCCCCTCCTGCCCCTCCTGTTGTTTTTGCTCTCACGACACAGCCTGCAGTCCCTTCACTGCCCCGGACAGCTCCTCTGGGTGTGTTTCGGGTCAGGAGCGGCCTCCTTAGTGGGGCTCCCGGGTTGGGCCCGGACCGGACGTCTTGTCCCCATGCGGACACTGACCGCCCACCAGGGCGCAGGCTGAGTGCGGGGAGTGGCAGGCCTGGGGCAGCAGCTGTGAGGCTGCCCCTCCCGGGTTGGGGCGGGGTCTCCACTGTCCGAGGGGGCGTCCCTCCGACCCGGACTCCCGGCTCCTCTGTGTCCTTGGCGAACCTGCTCACACCATCCCGGCCCCGGCCCCGGGGGGCTGGTTGTCCTGCGCACCCCCCAACCCTTCTCACACACGGACTGGTGCGCCCACTCACCCTGCACCCTGACCTCCAGCTTGGGGCTGCGTCTCCACACCTGGCCGTCCTCGGTGGCGGCCTCACACCAGTAGGCCCCGGAGTGGCCGCCCGCGGCCACGGGCACCTGCAGCTCCGAGGACACACCCCTGCCGCGCACGGCCCGGCCGTCCTTGTAGAAGGAGAAGAGGAGGCGGGCGGCCGACCTCTGCGGGGGCAGCTTGGTCTGGCAGCTCAGGGTCAGCGGGCCTCCCTCCCGGGGCCGGGCTGAGGGTGTGGCTCGCAGCAGTGGGGCTGGAAACAGCTCTGGGGGGACAGGCAGGAAGGCGGGGCTCAGGCCTCCGAGGTCCCGCCCTCTTCAGAACGAGACGGCACCGGCGTGTCCCCGTCTCCCTGTGCCCAGGACTGGAACAGACCCGGCGACCGGTGCCCCTGACGACACTCTAGACGCCCCGTCTCGGACCCCGTGGGACAGGGGCTGGAAGCCCGTGGCCTGGGAGGGGGACTGAGGGACTGGAAAAGGACCCGCAGGCCGACAGCGATCCCGCCCCTCCACCGAAAGCCGGTCGGTCTCTGCGTCACCCCCGGCCCCTGCTCTGCCACAGGGACACTGCCCGCGCTCTCACCCTGGACCGTGAGCACCAAGGAGGACGCCGTTTCCAGGCGCCCGGGGCCGGGGCTCCGGAAGACCCCGCTGCAGTGGTAGTGCCCGCTGTCCGCCTTGCGCGCCGAAGCGATGGAGAACTCCCGGCGCGGCCCCGGCGGGCCCAGAGCTGCGCCGTCTCGGTAGAAGGTGACCTGCGTCAGGGGCCAGTCCTGCCAGGCCTGGCACCGCAGAGCCAGGGGGTCGCCCTCAAATAGGGGGATGGCTGGGCCTTGCAGAATCAGCCAGTCTGTGACCCAAAGCAGGAGCTGAGTGTCCCCCACTGTCTGCCGTGGAAGCCCCCCAGCACCGCCTACCCCAGACCCCAGAACTTTCTCTGAGGGCCCCGGGAACCCTCGCCCCAGTGACATCTCCAGGGCCCAGGCCTGTGGGCGCCCCGGTCTGCAGGCTGATCATATGGAAGGCTGAGTGCCATCCGTGCCAGTTTCCCGGGGGGCCCCTGCCCGAGGGGCTGTGGGAGGGGACGGGAGAGCGGGCCTGCACCCGTCAGCCCCTCCCAGGGTCTCACCGTAGGACACAATCAGATGGAAGGGCTGGCTGAACACGTAGCTCTTGGCCTGGAAGCCCACCTCCCTGGAGCTTGTGGGGTGCCGGCCAGTGTGGCAGCCGCCGTCCCCGGTGCCCGCCGGCCCTTCACACTGCAGGGGCTCCCAGCTGGCTGCGGAGGAGGGCGACGGCCGAGAGAGTGACCCTGTGACTTGGAGAAAGAGGACAGGAGAGAGGTTCCTCCTGCTTCTGGGGGACCCCCTTCTTAGAGTGAGAATAGGAGGACCCCAAAGCCTTTTCATCCACAGACCCCCCATGGGTCCTTCTGGGGGTCTTTGGTGTGATTTCCAAGCTGCTGGGATCTCGGGGAGGGCTCAGCGGTTTGGGGAAGAGGCAGGGGAGAGGCTGGCTCGATGCGAACCCGCCAGTGTGACATCTGGCTGCTGTGGACACAGGAAACCAGGTGACCCCAGAGCCAGCAGACATGGAACAGGAGGGAAGGGAAGGGGTCAGTTCGAACCCGGCCAGGCCAAGCTCTTCCGCACATGTGCTCATTTCACCGTCACAAGATTTCCGAGTGTTTGACTCACCCCCTGCCCCCGGTTTGTGAGTCTTTAAGGAACGGGCTTAGGACACAGGACGAACTAACCCTGAGTTTAAAGGGGGGAGGGAATGGGCGGGACAGCCAGGCCTGCTGAGTGCAGAGCCGGGACTCTTCCTGCCACACTGCGCAGACTGGTCTGCTCCAGCCCCCGGCTTCCCTGCGGACTGTCCTCCGTAACCGTGTTGGCCCCGAACTCACCTGGCCCCTGGCCCCCAAGTACTGCCCCCCCCCCCCGTACCTCTCAGTTCCCAGTGGTGTCTCCTCCTTCCCCCTCCCATTCTTTAGGTCCCCACTTTTCAGCCATCGCTGCCCTGCTGTCCTTGTCCCTTGAAATGTCCCCCCATGTCCTTCTCAACCCTGACCCTCTACTCCCAGTCTGGTGACCAGAGAGCGATGCTCTTTGCTTCCCGGCTGAGAGTCAGAGCTATGGTTTCTCACCGAATCTGTTCAACCTGCCTCTGAGCTCCACGGGTGTCCCCAGCGAGGTAATTCCGTTCCCCTCTGCTCCACGATGCTCCGGTCCTCTCTCCCCCTCCGGCCCATGGCCATGAGCTCACTCCTCACTCCGTCCTCCCCTGTCCCCTCCCCTTTGGCCTCTCGCCTCCCAGTGGCCCCGCACGCTGCTTGGACTTCGCCACTCACTTCCCTGCGTGGCCCCCCCTCCTTGCTAATTCTCACCACATCAGGCCCAGGTGCCACATCCTCTCCCGCCCCCTCGGCTCCCGCCCCTTCTCAGTTCCCCCACTGTCCCTCCTGGGGACCCGGCCTCTTCTCCTTTTCCGACCTAAGACCTGCTCAGGCCACCAGGCACTTGCCTGTTGCTTTGTGAGTAAGACAACCAAACCCAGAGACATGAGAAGTGACACAGTCCTTCGAAGACGGGCCACACCGGACACCCGGCCCTGTCTCTGTGCACCCGGTAAAACGGTTCCGTGACGTGGCTGTGCGGGGACGACGCAGGCGCCGAGAGTTCCAGCACGGGCAAGGCGAGGCCGAGAGACAGAACGAGAAGGCCTTCTCTTGCCCACAAAGAACTGAGTTGGGCGGACGGCACGGCCCGTGCACACAGTCTCCCTCTCGCGAGGGTTCGACGGCAGCATCCTGGCGAAGGTGCCACCAAGGCTGAGGGTTTGGTGACGCCGGAAGTTGCGGTGCGAGAGGGGGACGGGGCCGTGAGATGCCCACTTTGGCAGAGGGAGCAGGTGAGCTGAGTTTAGAGACGGGTGAGAGTCTGGCGTGAGAATGCCGGAACCCAGGCCACTGGGGGTGTCCTGGAGCCTCTCCTGCCGGGCTGAGGGATGGCCAAGGCCGCGGAGGTCGCCCGGCCAGGCTGGCGAGGGGCCCTGGTGTCACCAGAAGGAGCGTGGGTGGGCCACGAGCAGAGCGCCCTTCAAGGACACAAGGCTGAGACAGGGCGGTCGGCTGGGAAGTCTCTGGCCAGCCCTGGGACAGTGCAAGAGGTGACCCTTGCCAAACCTGATAACTGACCATCTTCAGGGCCCGAGCAGAGGGGGAGAAGCCTGTCCCCCAAGCTTGTGGCCGCACGTGAGACAGGACGGAGAGCGCCAGCTGGCGCCGCGGTCCCGGGAGACACGCAGAAGGCCCACCTTGTGCAAAGCTGGGCTTCTGGGTGCAAAGCTCAAACGCAGCAGTGGGGGTGCAGGTGGGTTAGGACTCAGTGGCACAGGTGTGGCGGTGAAAACGACACCTGCAAGTCAGTCAGCTCACGGGGGAGGCCGAGTGCAGAGAGAACAGTAGGGAGGCACAGGAGCAGCACGGGAAGGACAGACTCCAAGGGGAGAGCAGCAAAGCCACCAAACGGGACTGAGGTGGATGATGGCAAAGGCACGGTGATGCGTGGGGTTCGGGGAAGGAGGAGTTGGGGGACGAGGGACAGCAGCGGTCAGGCCCAGCGGGTGGGAACTAAAAAGCCCAGGAAGGCCCATCAGCACAGACGTCACCACCTGGGCCAAAGAGACCCAGTAGCAGCCAGATTGTGAGCTCCGAGTGGCAGTGAGGACATGGGGGCAGTAAGCGCAGGAGACACTTGTCTGCAAAAAGGAAAAGCAGTTGACAAGTCACTGAAGGGAGCAGCACCGCTGAGGGATGAGGGACGGCCAGGCTGAAAGGTTTGTGTTCGGAAAGAGCCCATCAGCCCTGCACACAGACGTCCCGGTTTCGCCCTGACCGACCGGTGTGGCCCAGTGGGCGTCACCGGCTCAGTTCCTGGTCAGGGCACGTGCCTGGGCTGTGAGTGTGGCCCCGACTGGGGCGCGTGCAACAGGCAGCCGATCAGTGTCTCTCCCCCTCCCTTCCCCTCTCTCAGGCATAAATAAAAGGAAAAAAGAGTTAAAAACAAATTCCTTGTGTGTACCCTTCGCATCCCTTTGAATGCCGCATCTTTGAAGGCCCACGTTGCCCCCGCCCCGCAGTGTCCCAGTGCTTTTGCTACTCACCCAGCAGCACCCACAGCACAGGAGGGGGAGAGCGGGCCCCGAGAAGGCCACCCAGCGCCATGGCCACTGCGTGAGGGTCTCTGCAGCAGCCGACACCCTGATTTTCATCAACATGAAACCTCTCAAATTAGAAAAGAGGAAGTGAGTCTAACTGTCTCCTCTCCTCGCATCTGCAGCCCACTTTCAACCCTGATTGGCTCCCATTCTTCGGCTGGGGTCACGGGGGTTCCAGGCGCCCCCCACCGCCGCATCCTGAGGACTGCGCTCCCCGAGATCCCAGACAGCTCCCGGGCCTGCTGGGGCCTGACGTGCTGGGCCAGGCAGCAGCGGTGCCCTTCGCAGGCAAAACCGCTGAGGACAGAGGCGGCGAGATGCCCGCAGGCTGCACAGAGACCACCGTGCGGGCCGGGAGGAGAGTTCCGGTCCCGCCGTGTCCTGTTCCACACCTTCCGTGCCTCCGGTGGCCATGATGCAGCCAGGGCAGCCACGGAGGCAAGAGGACGGAAACGGCACCAAGTCAGACACCAGCGGGTCCCTGCTGGGCTCCCGCTGTCCCAGGCCCACGCGCATCTGTCCGTGGGTTCCTCGGATTCCCGTCTCTGCCAGCAGCCGTCCGAGCATGACGCAGAGAAGGCGCCTGGGAGGCGGAAAGAATGGCCCGGGCTCGGGCTCAGCCCGAGGCCCCCACTCCCTGGAGAAACCCGGGGAGACCCAGGGATGGGGGCGCCCGTGCAGGCCGCAGCGTCTGCTCCGGCTCGCAGACCACTGCGCGGCCCCTCACTGTCTGCCCTGAGACTGCGGCTCCGCCCACAGGGACGACCCTCCGCTGCCCTTGCCACCGCCCACCCGTCCAGGCCCGGAGGGGTTGCGGGAGATGACACCTGAGCCCCCAGAAATGGGGAAGGCAAGGGGGCCGGCCTGGCCCTTCAGCTGAGAAACCACCGTGAGAGCAGACCTGTGAGCGCCCTGCCCCCGAGGGCGGATACTTTGCAAAATCTAAAATAAGCCTTTCCAGTACGGTTTCCGTTCTCGAGGCGTATGCGTCGGTGCAGGTGGCCCCGAGCAGCCCGGGGCAGCTGAGCGTGGGCATGTGGGAGGGTGCCGGCAGTGACCCGGCAGCCCCGGGCCCACCCACAGCTCATAACCCACAAAACGGCACCAGAAACCGGTCACGGGCTTCAATGCCAAGTGGGAAGCTGCACGCCTTCTGCAGAAATACGGGAGGACTTGCCCTGGCACCCAAAGCACGGGCTCTCCCGGACAGCGAGATCCCCTGGAGGTGTGAAAATCACCAGTGGGCAGCTTACAGAAGCACTTGTTACAGGTGTTTGGTGAGAAGTAATCCTGTTGATATAAATGTCTGTGCCATTTACATACTCTGATGGAATTGCACTTCTCTCAAAAATAAAATCGAAATAGGGCGTATTTCATTCCAGTGGACACAGGAACACAGAAAACAAAGAAACTATGGAGGAAGTATCTCAGATGACTTTAAATCTATACATATATCTTTGTGTTAAAGAACACAAAAGACCCTGGCTGGTGTGGCTCAGTGGATTGAGTGCCAGCCTGTGAACCAAAGGGTCGCTGGTTCAATTCCCAGTCAGGACACAGGCCTGGGTTGCAGGCCAGGTCCCCAGTAGGGGGCGCATGAGGGGCAACCGCACACTGATGTTTCTCTCCCTCTCTTTCTCCCTCCCCCTCTCTCTAAAAAATTAAATACTTAAAAAATACAAAAGTATTAGAAATAAGAAAGAGGATATTAGTGAAGACTAAAACTTATTATGAATATAGAAGAGAGTACAATGTACACACTAGAAAGTAAACAAAATAGAAAACTTGACCAGAAAACCAAAGGTAATTTTGTGAACGGAGCAATAAAATAGATCTCTGACAAGTCCAATTAGGACAAACAGAATAAGAGATGAAGGTGTCTCTCTGGTACTTGACCGTCTAACAGCGTTTTGTTTGGTATCTACGTGAGAACATCGGTCATGTGTCCTAGGAAATTCAGTTACAGGGCACTGAGACTATGTCCCTAAGGAGGGACTTCCGATGAGAAGCAAGACGTTCCCCCTGGAAGATCCCAGGGGCGGCTCAGGAACCAGAGGAGTTGGGGGGCCATGCAAGAGGTGGGTCAGGAATGGCTTTGAAAAGGCGGGCACAGCTGGAAAGCCGGCTTTTTGGGGCCTTTCTCCTACCACAGGTGGGGACACAGGTGTTTCCAGGCGACTGCTCTACCCGGCCCCCTAGTTTAATTCTCAGGGGAAGCCGAACCAGGCAGCAGGTACAAGTGAACTGAGGTGAGTCGAGGGAAGACAAGGTGGGCACCACGGACACTTGCACCTGGGCACCAGCCACCCTGTCTCAGGACACCTGGCAAGCACACTCCAGCCAGGCAGGGAAGTAAATCAAGAAACTGGAAGATGTAAGATTCAGGGAAAAGGGGATTTAATACAAAAGACAGGTGCAGGGAAGTCCCAGATAGCGGCTCGCAGGAGCAGAGAGCTGGGACAACCCAATTTTGTGTCAAAAGACAGAGAATCCTCCCAGGAGGGGCTTCTCGCTGAGAGAGAGAGAAAAGGAAAACTACTTGGTCATTTGACACCATGGGAAATAGGGTTAAGCTGCTTCAGAATGTTTTTTAAACCTCTGAGAAAAACTAAAAATAGGTACATAGAAACCCAAACGAAAGACAAAAACGAAGCAGTTATTATCTCTGGAAGGAAAAGAGCTGGCTGGGGAAAGGAAGCGCAATCAGAGAGCCCTGTCTCAGCAGCGAGCGCCGGTCGGAGGGCGGCGAGGATGCTTGACAGGAGCCCCGGGTGGGGAAGGAGGGCAGGGTGTGGACCTGCGGCAGCTCGGCCAGGGCTCCGACCCCACAGCAGGAAGCAGGGAGGCGCCAGCTGACACAGGAAAATCGAAACACGGCGGTAAATTAGCAGGAGGCCTAGTGACACTGGCTGAAGAAATTGCCTCCGAGAACAGGACTGAGGGGGTGCGAGGGATGAGCAAGAAGCAGCTCCTTCTTGTCACAGCCTTGGGTCCTGTGACCCAGTTCAAACTCACTTTAATAGAAACTTTCAAAGTCTCAAAGTTTTACTTTGAAAAACGAAACAAAGCAGTGTCTTCACATACACAGCGAAAGACATCATCATGCAGACAAATCCTACGGACCACGCCACTGGGCAATAAGGTGGGAGACAAGAACAGCAAAAAGACAGTGGAAGTGAAGTAAATCATTCTCACTAAACCTTGAGTTCAGAGGAAAATAAAACCGAAGTTAGAGATGATTCAGAAGCCAACAATGACAAGAGATGTGGCCAAAGCAGCAGTAAGAGGAAAAGTCAGAGCCGTTCGTGGCTTTGTGTAAAATCAGTTGATAAATAAATGAGCCATATAGTGAATCCCAATCACGTGGAAGAAAGGCAACATCAGGCAACAAAGGAAGGACAGAGACTTGCTGGTCAAGTCAAGAGCTGTGACAAGACAGATAAAGCAGGCCAACCGCTGGCAGGCCCGGGAAAGACAAACAGATGCGGAGACCTAAGTGACCAGCGCCCCAGCGACCGTTCCACTCCCAAGGGCTCAGCTGAGTGCTGGGAGGTGGGTTCATCTCATTCCTTTTCTGGTGATTGATTGAGGGAGGGGCGTGTGTCCCAGGTCTGACCAATGTGACGCGAGGGGGACATTGCTGGAGACAGGTCTCCTCGCTCCTGAGAAAGAGACGCACAGAAGAGGCCATCATTCCCTGTGTCTCCTTGGGTGGTGATGTGTCTTCCACCCCCGAGGGCCACTCCCAGAGAAGCTCCGGACACCCGGTCTCTGGACTTTCCATGATGGGAGATAGTACGCTTCCTTATCGTTCAAGCCGGTTGGAATCACGATTTCCTGTTATTTCCATCTGAAGTCGCCCTCACTGATAGGAGAGGACCCCAGGTCTCCGAGTGAGAGGGGAACATGAGTGCAGGCACACGCATTATCCTCTGAAATGAAGAACACTCAGCACCCAGCTGTGTACCAATAATGACAGAAAAAAATATGTTTGTCAAAGGTCTCTTCTACAAAAGGTATCAAGGCCAGGGGTTATTACAGCAGAACCTGCCAACGAAAAATGCCCAGCGTTGACCAATGTTGGGAAATGGGCAACCCGACATGATGTGAAATATTACACAACCATCAAAAAGGAACACCCAAGGCATGAACTCCACAGTCCATTGTCCATCAAAATAAGCCTACCCACAGTACGATCGCGTTAAAAAAAACCAACAGAGACTTCCGCCAAGATGGAGGCACAGGTGGAGACGCTGTGCTTCCTCACACAACCAAGTTTAGAGACAACTAAATAATAGCAACAGAAAACACAGCCAGAACACAGAAAATTGAACTTTTCGGAAGTCTGATAACAACAAATTCTTTAGCCTGACCTGTAAGAGGAGTGAAACCAGCAGCTGGCGGAGCCGCGTAGCACAGGAAAACTCGGTCAGACGGACTCGGGCACATCCAGGCGCAGGGTTGGACCTGGTGGGCAACTCAGCGAGCGACCTCGGGGAAACAGCAAGGGAGCAGGGCTGTGGGTTGACTGTGGTCTCGCATCCGTGCGTGGATAGACAAGCGAGGGAGTGGGCGATTGGACGAGAGCCAGCAGCCCCAGCGGCAAGCGGCTGCTGAGGGTGCCGCCATTTCCCTGCTCTGACCCCGCCTCCACATACAGCGTCATAACCCAGCGACCTGAGTGGCCCCGCCCAGGTGAACCACCTGAGGCTTTGCTCCTCACCCAGCGGCGAGAAACAGCAGAGGGGGCCGCCATTTCCCCGCTCTGACCACGCCCCCACATACAGCGTCACAACCCAGCGACCTGGGAGTCCAAGGCTCCACTCGTCATACTTAACGGGCACAAACAGACCAAAAATGGCTCAAGAAGATCTCAAAGCCCCAGAGCCTATAAATCTAAGCGATGAAGAAATAGCAAAACTTTCAGACGCACAGTTTAAAACACGGGTGATCAGGATCCTCACAGAACTGGTTGATTATAGCCACAAATTAGACAAACATATGAAGGCAAAACTTACTGAAATGAATGGAATTGCACAGTAAACCAATAGCGATGAAAAGGAAACTGGGACTCAAATCAATGGAGTGGACAAGAAGAAAGCAAATAATGGCCAAACAGAAAAGAGTGAAGAAGCAAGAATTCAAAAAAATGAGGAGAGGCTTAGGAACCTCCAGGACATCTTTAAACGCTCCAACATCCGAATTATAGGGGTACCAGAAGGGGGAAAGGAACAGCCACCAGTGGAAAACTTATTTGAACAAATAATAAAGGAGAATTTACCCAATCTGGCAAAGGAAATAGACTTCCAGGAAATCCAGGAAGCTCAGAGAGTACCAAAGAAGTTGGACCCAAGAAGAAACACACCGAGGCACATCATCATTACATTAGCCAAAATTAAAATGAAGGAGAGAATCCTAGAAGCAGCAAGAACTAAGGGGACAGTCACCTACAAAGGAGTCCCCATCAGACTGTCAGTGGATTTCTCAAGAGAGACCTTCCAGGCAAGAAGGGGCTGGAAAGAGGTATTCCAAGTCATGAAATCCAAACACCTACAACCAAGATTGCTCTATCCAGCAAAACTTTCATTTAGAATGGAAGGACAGATAAAGTGCTTCTCAGATAAGATCAAATTCAAGGAGTTCATCATCACTAAGCCCTTATTATATGAAATGTTAAAGGGACTTATCTAAGAAAAAGAAGTTAAAAAAACATGAACAGTGACAGGACAACAAACTACAGTTATTAACAATCACACCTAAAACAAAAGCAAACTAAAAGGACAGCTAGATCAGGAGTGGAAACATAGAAATGAAGATCACGTGGAGGATTAGCAACAGGGGAGTGGGAGGGGAGAAGGTACAGAAAATAAGTAGCATAGACAGTAGATAGAAAATAGATGGGGGGGCAAGAATAGCATGGGAAATACAGAATCTAAAGAACTTGAGACACATGGTCATAAACTAAAGGGGGGTAATGGTGGGGATGGGGGGGTAGGGTAGAGGGGAATGAAGGGGGGAATAGAACAACTGTAACGGCATAATCAATTAAAAAATAAATTTAAAAAAACACCAACAACAAAACCATAAAAATGTGCCTTGGCTGGGTGTGGCTCAATGGACGGAGTGCCAGCCTGCAAATCAGAGGGATGCTGGTTCAATTCCCAGTCAGGGCATGTGCCTGAGTTGTAGGCCAGGTCCCCAGTAGGGGGCACGTGAGAGGCAACCACACAGTGATGTTTCTCTCCCTCTCTTTCTCCTTCCCTTCCCCTCTCTAAAAATAAATAAATAAAACCTTTAAAAAATGTATAGGTGCATACCAAAAATTCAGAAACATACATGAAATGTGCCACACTGGTCACCCATTGAAAGCATTATAGGATTGGGGGCGGGCAGTGAGGACAGAAAGAAACTTCCGTTTCACTGTTTATGTTTCTGTATCGTTTGAGTTTACGTGCTCAGGAGGAGCATAAATTTTTGCCTGTGCATATGTAGGAGCATGTGAAAACACTGTGATCCAAGTAAAAAATATGAGTACACATGTCTGAAACGCCACCTGGATTCTGTCTGGTTCGTGAGTTTGCAGGTGATCCTAATGATCTTGCTTACCTGTAGTTTTGTTTTCTTTTAACATCAGTGGGTGGTTGCCTCTTGAGCGCCCCCTACTGGGGACCTGGTCTGCAACCCAGGCATGTGCCCTGACTGGGGACTGAACTGGGGACCCTTTGGTTCAAAGGCCGGCACTCAATCCACTGAGCCACACCAGCCAGGGCTGCTTATCTGTGTTTTAATTTGATTTTTTAAATGAGTAGAGTAGAACTGTGTGTATAAATAAAGTGGGCCGCCATGCTGTGATTTATAAGGAGACGTGCACCATTCCTGTAAAAATGGGCAGGAGTACGTGGGCAGAAAAACCACCACGGAAGACATGTGAATGGCTAATCCCCACACTCTAATTCCGAAGCACAGGGTTTGGCGGAACGTCAGCCCCTCCAACCCTGTCATCACGGACCCACAGCCCGACGTGAGTGTGGGCTCTGACTGGGACTGCGTGGTGCCTGGGCGTCACCGCACAGGGAAGCTGCTGTGTCCTGGCAGCGAGAACGCCGCGGGAGGGAAGCGCGTCAGGGTCCCCAGAAGACGAGGCCTCTCCCAGGACCCCCGCGAGCCCCCAGGGAAGCTGTCAGGCACGTCCCCAACCCGCTGGGGTGGCGTCCTCGAGGTCGCGTCCTCCGGGTCGCCATGACTGGGACAGGACAGGAGGACTCAGCAGTCCCCACCAGGGACCCACTACAGCGTGGTTTCCTGTGAACAGGCATCACGAGACCGAAGTGGTGAGTCTGCCAGGGGAGGAAGAGGAAGGAGACACGGAGAGGAGAGCGCAGGTCTCTGGACGAGCAGGGGGCCCTGGCCCCCCTCCCCCACCTCGTACCCATCGCCACCTTCCCGAGACCGTCACCGAGGAGCAACACACCCCGGGCAGTGCACCCTTCGACCCACACAGCCTTTAAACGGCAGCGGGAATGTTGTTTCACGTGCTTTATTATAAAATTGATACATGCTGTGTAGAGGGAAAGAAAGGAACGTCCTCAAACCGCATCTCCCCGAAACAACCGCTTTAACATGCTGGCCTGTGTGACTCTGTCCGTCACATCTGAAATCAGACACTCATGTAATGTTTCCCGTGTAACGTGTAACACAAGCGCTTCCCGTGTGGCGACACTGTCTTAATAAAAGCATGTTGTGTTGGCTGCTTACTGGCCACGTGGACACTGACCGAGGACATGTGACGGTGGCCGGTGCCGAGGCTGGGGCGGGCGCTGTCCATGGCCCTCGGGACAGGAGCCTGGGCATCAGGGTGGGGGACGCTCCCCCCGAAGAGTCCTGCTCCTTGGGAACCTCGGGGGCGTCTCGTGGGGCCGGAAGACCGACCCGGCCTGCCCGGCTCTCGCCCCCACGGCTACACGTTCTGGTAATCCGAGAGCCCTGCGTCTTCCTCCGGGTGCATGAGCAGGGAGTAGGTGATGGTGTTCTCGGCCTGGAGAAAGCAGAGCAGCCACAGGGACCGTGGAGAAGCCACACGGGAGGCTGGGGAGGAGGGGGAGGAGGGGCGGGGCCTGGGGGCTCACCTCCGCTTTGGCAGCCTCTTCAGCGTGGGTGAGGTTGGCTGCGGGCAAAAGGAACAGGTCAGCCGGGCCCTGCGGCAGGAGGGGACCTACTGTGCGCTGCGGTTGCCACCCAGGCCAAAGAGCGCCGGAGTCCACGAGGCCTCGCCCCTGCCCGCCCTCGCCCGCCCGGCAAGGCAGCACCTTCTCAGAGGGTGGCTGCGTTTTCCCAGAGGAAGCAGCCGCCTCTGAGATCTGAGGCCCCGGGCACAGGCGGGCGGCTCAGTGTCGCACTGAGGTCGAGTCTGGATTTTTGCAGCCACAGACTCAAAGGTGAGAAGACTCGGGCCGTGCCAGGCTGAGGAAGTGCGCCCTTGCTGGAGCTGCGAGGAATCCGGTGACTCCGGGACAGGAAAGGAGAGAACAAGCCCAGAGCGAGGCAGAGGGAGGAGGAATGGCGCCAGCAAGCCAGTCCCGGGGGGGGGAGCGCAGCCGTCCCCTCCGGCTCCTGCCCACGAACTCCTTCCCCGTGAAAGCAGCCTCGGTGTCTGCACGGCCTGGGAGGCGCCTGAGACCACGGCAGGCAGTGTCCTCCCCGTGCGCCGGGCGAAGCGTCCCCGTTTGCCACGCTCCGAGTTCTGGGACAGTCCCCACCCTGGATGCTCCTTCCCGCGGCCCCTCGACCTTCCCAGCTCCCGGCCGCGCCTCTGGGGCAGCCTCGGCCCCGGTGCTGGCTGCGAAGTCCGTGCCCCGTGAGACGCGCCCACGCACACAGAGCTGAGCCCCCAGAGCAGCCCGTGCAGGCCGTGTCCCACCTCGGCCGGGCCAACCCGGCCCGAAGCTGGACAGCGCCTCTTGCTCAAGCCCTCAAATCTGTTGTTCTGCTCTGAGTCACACCCTGGCCGTCTGAGGCGGAGCTCCAGGGCCCCGTCCCTGCCCGACTCTGCCCCGAGTTCCTTCACGCTCTGGCCCTGAGGACAGTCCAGAAGCCACCTGGAACCCCTCCCCGCAGGCCCACCAAGGCCAGGCTCTCAGAAGCTCAGACCTGAAGGCGCTCTCGTCCCCAGCAGGGGACAGAACCCACGAGGCCTATGACCCACTAAAGGTCCCACTGCCCGAGGGAGGCAGGACTCGAGCCAGCCCACAGCCTCTGAGAGCCGGGCTTCGCCCACAGGGCGCACCAATGCCGCTGGGGCCCGGGCCTTGGTGTGACAGCTGGGCCTGAGCGGGCTCCCTGACAAACGCAGGGTCTGCCCTCCGAGAGCCCTGCCCCCCGACCCCCTGCTCCCCCCCCCCCCCCCCCCCCCGTGCCAACCCTGCTGCCGAAGCCCCCGGAGACCCCACCGTCTCGGGTTTCCTCCTGTCTGGAGACTTCCCAGCATTCCTAGCCCCGGGAATTCGGACCCTGGCGAATCCCCGCCGTCTACCTGGCACAGGTGGGCTGCCCGCCCCGCCCCCGAGGAGCGGTCCCCTTCAGGCCCAGGTGTGAGGCTCAGAGCTGACCAAGCGATTTGAGCCCCGCCCGCCTCCCCCGCCCCCTCCCTGTCCCGGGCGCCATGCTGACCTCACACAAGCCGTGTCCTGCTCCCGGGCCCGGGGCGGCCCCGGGTGGGGCAGCAGGAGCCCCCGGGGGCTACACTCACCTGGTTCCTCGGGTGGGGTCTCTCCCACTTCCCTGCTCTTAGGGGCTCCTGGGAGGGTTGGGAGGGCACACAGGAGGTCAGTAGGTGAGGGGCGGGGCCTGAGTCCTCCGCTGGAGGACCAGGGCGGGACTGGGTTGGGGGCCTTCAGACACGCCCTCCCCTCCCATTTGTCGCCTCTCCTGCCCCGGCTGCAGACGGACCTGCCCATCCAGAGCCTTTCCTGGCTTTTCAGTGACAGGAATAGTGACCATCTGCTCATTGCTTTTCTGGGCGCCCTCCCTTCCCTCTCGAGTTTGTTTGGTCTCAATTAGTACAAATTAATGTAAAGTCCTCCCGCCGACCGGTCCGCGAGCAAGTGTTGGCTGAGTGTGGGTCCAGTGGGTGGCAGGCACTGCGCTGGGCGCCTGCGGGCTGGAGACCGAGTCAGCCACTCCCTCGGCCACCTCCTGTCCCGGCCACCTCCTGTCCCGTGTCCCGGCCTCGTCCTGTGCAGCCCACACGCTCCCCAAGCCCATCCGGCCACACAGTCCTCACCCCCATGGCCCCTGCTCACGGCCACCCTCAGCGTCACCTCCTGCACGATGACAATGCTCTGCCTACACGGTGGCCACTGTTGTGAGACCCGTGGCCTCGGCCTCCTCCCACCACCCCGGGACGGCACTTCCGTGAGTGGCCTCTCGCCCAGAAGAGGAGACTGGGTCTCGGGCTCAGCGAGGAGCTCAGCCCAGGCCACGCCGCCGTGACCGGGGGCCTGAGACTGAGCACGGGCCCCCCTGAGAGAGGGGTGCCCGTGAAAGCGTCCCTGACGCGCCACCCACGCTTCTGCCCCCACCCCTGGCCTCTGCCTTTGTCCACCATCGCTCTCATCCCGTCTCGTTGTAACGACCATCTGTGCTTCCGTCTCCCTGGGACGCACGGAGCTCCCTGAGGCGCAGGCTGTGCTCCTGTCTGGGCCTCGTCCCCAGCGTCTGGCACGGGCTCCCCGGGTGAGCAAGAAAGAGGGCCTGCACCTTGTCCCATGCGTGAGTCAACAAGTGAACGAGTACGCAAAACCCAGGGCCGCCTCTGAGCGCCGCGGAGCCTCCGGGCCAAAGGTGAGGGTTCCGGCGCTGGGCGCGGGCCACGTCAGAGCCCAGGACACGAGAAACAAGAAAAAGCCACCAACCTGCGCTCCGGTGCCTCCTGAGGCAGACCCAGGCCACCATGGCAGCCACACCGGCCACTGCAGCGATGCCGGCCACCACGGCCACAGTGATGATCACCGGGAAGAGGTTCTCACTGGCTGCTGGGGAAGACAGAGCTCAGGACAGGCCGCCCGCTCCCTCCCAGTGCGGATCCCTGTGCCTGGGCCACTCACAGGGGCCGTGCTTCCGGCCCCCCAGCCCCACCTGCTGGGGGTTTGCCTCCATGGCTGGGCCTGTGAGCCCCAACCCTCAGCCTGTTTGCTAACCTAAGGTGCACTGGGATGGGGAGGGTGGTCCTCTGAGAGTCAGGGGCCGTGCAAGCACGGTCCCCACACCCAGCACAGCCATGAGCTGTTGGGCACAGGCCCCAGTGGGTGACGGACAGACATGAAGGCCTCAGATCTCAGGAACGTCCAGGGCCTCAGGGCCCCCTGAACTGGTGAGGGAGGCCCTGTGCCGCTGTCCTGGTGTGGGGCCTCTTCCCCTGGGGGGGCGGCTCTGAGCCTGGCCCGCCTCCCTGCCCTGCACCCCGGGGGTCGCCTGCACTGCGGGGGCGCTTCCCAGACCTCCATGGGGCTCCCACGACCACAGCCCCACCCCTTGCCTCACCTGCTTCTGGGACACCTTGGACATCGATGCGCACAGGGTGGGACTCGTGCCTGTTCCGCCCCATGAATCCGGAGCAGTGGTACTTGCCGCCGTGGCTGACGTTAGCGTGTGGGATGAAGAAGCTGGAATTGGCGGGGGAGTACCACTTGGCTATGCCGTCCTGGAAGAACGAGATCTTGAACAGGGGCTGGCTCTTCCAACTGTGGCACCTCAGCACGAGGGGGTCGCCCTCCCGCAGCAGCAGGCGCGGGGTCTGCAGCAGCAGCCAGTCTGGAGGACACGGAAGGGACAAGGGACCCCAGAGGTCGTGACCGAGCTCTGGGACCCAGGGCACGCTGACCAGGGGACAGGCTGTGGGGAAGGAGGGGCTGAGTGTAGACCCTGGTGCCCCGGTTTCTCCCTCTGGCTCCCTCGTCCATGAGGGTGGACAGAAAGACACCGCATGCCACGGGTGCTCGGGGAGCGCTCGTCTGCTCGTCTGCTGCCCCGGGGGATGGTGGCGCCACCGCGTCCTGCCTGACAGGCCTCTGCAGGGAAGGAAGACCCCGGGGTGCAGGTGAAAGGGTCCACGCTGATGTAGGAGACCCATGTCTTTGGGGACCGTAGAAAGCCGTGGACATTTGGTGAGAGTTGGGGAGTGTGGCGCTTCCCTCAGGGGTCTTTGTTGGAAGACCTCTGTGTCCCAGGGGGGCCATTCGTCTTCTGTGCGAGTTCCCCCACTTTTCACCCTTTCACTGAGGAGGGAAATGTCGAGTGTTTTGTTGCACAGGGAAGAGCGTCCACAGGGGCACTTGGACGCCGGAGCTCTGGCCCCTTCTCCCCAGAGCTGCGGGGCTGGGACTAGACAGAAACGCCGGCCAGAAGGCAACAGACACGGTGGAAGGGGGCCGGGCTGCCAGGAATGACAGCAGCCACACGCCCTCTTTGTCCCCACCACACATCGGAACGAGGCCGCCCGGGGCTGCCCCGGCTGGCAGCATGCAGGAGAAAGCTCAGGGCCACCACGGCCAGGGGACAGTGCGGGGGGACAGCGGGCCACATGAGCTGGAACACCCTGCCTCTCTGCTGGGGACACACCGCCGCCCCTTCTCCAGTGTCGGCGCCCTCACATCCTGACCCCCAGGGAATGAGGCCCTGGGCGCCCCAGGTAGGTGGGTGGGGAGGCAGGGAAGGGCCAAGGCCTTTTAAAATAGAGTCCCAGCCGGAGAACGGGCACAGCCGCTGCGGGGCCAGCTCTCCCTTCCCCGGAAAGTTCTGCTGCTCCAGGTCACAAGGGGACCGAGGGGAGGGCGTGCCTTAGGCTGGTCGGCCCCGCAGCCCCAAGGTCCCTGCAGACACCCCTCGGTGCCATTCTCAGGGGCGGCGCCCAGCTCTGTGTTCGCGGCACCAGGGGGACGTCCTTCTCCGAGCAGTAAAAGGGTCTTTCCATCGGTTGCCTGGGAAACGCCTGTGCAGGCCCCTGGGAGCCTTGCAGACCAGGGGCCAGAAATAGCCCTCCTCCGCCTGGCACAGGGTGGGGGCCGCACAGCCCAGCTCTCCACGTCTTGGGGAGAGGGTGTCCCTGCTGCTGCAGCCCCTCAACGGTGACGCTGGCCCTGGGTCCTGGCATCTCTGCTGGATGAGCCCAACGGGCTTCTAGAAACTCGCTCATTTTTTTTTCTGTCTTCAGCCAGAACTGGCGGCTACAGCTCTCGGAACAGAACCTCTGGGAGGCACGGGACTGCCTGACATTCGGGGCACTGGCCTTCCTGTCTGCTTGGCAGACAGGCCACCCCCTCCCAAGGGTGTGTGAATGAGTCTCATTCAGCCCTGTCCTGGCTGATCAGCCACAGCTTCTCGCTCTGGTTCTGCTTCATGTTGGATACAAAAGCCTTCAGTGACACGGGTGGCAGTCGGGGCTTCCCAGTGGCCTGTGGGGGTGTGAGTCACCCATTCGTCTGGACACTGTGGCCAAGGCAGGGGGTGGCGCTCACTGGCCGGCCGCACACGGCTCTGGGTCCCTGCTGGGGTGTCAGGCACCCCACCAGGGCGCTGGCCCAGCTCTCTCTGCCGCCCCCGGAGGTGCTGGGCCGCAAGCACAGAGCCCCTCCTCAGACTCAGCCTGCCGCCCCACGGCGACCCTGGGTTTGTCGGGCCGGTGCAGGGACCTGGCAGTGGCGGCGGAGGGACAGTCAGCGTTGTCAGTACTGAGGCTGGTGGGGCTGCAGCCCCAGCGGGGGACGGGGCTGGACCCACACGTGGGTGGAGCTGCCGGCCTCAGGGGCACCCGCGTCCTGCTGACCTCTCTGGCTCGCGGGCCCCACGTGGGCCACCGGCCAGGGTCCAGCTGTCCTGGGCCACTCCCGGGGCAGTTGCTACTGCTACCTGCTCTCGAGGAAGGTACCAGAGCCGAGTGCCCAGGTGCTGGCCACCTCCAGCTGGGCTCGTGGGCCCTGGGGTGCCACCCGCAGCACCCGCCTCACCTTGGCTGCAGCGGGGCGGCTGGTCTGAGGCCCCGCAGCTGCAGGGAGGCCCGACGAGAGCCTGGGGGGCAGAGGCAGAGGGGCTGTGCCCTGCTCAGGGGCGGGGCAGCGGCCTGTGGGCTCCTCGCCGCCCAGTCCGGCACCTGCACAGGCCCTAGGGTGACGCACAGCCCCACTCCCGGGGCCTCAGGGGAGCCGGGCGGCCCAGGGTCCAGTGTTCCTGCCATCAGTTTCCCGGCTAGGGCCCCGGGCACATGTGGGCCCCAGTGCGTGGGGCTGGGGGTGCTGGTTGCAGCCACACCCAGGCAGGGGCCACAGGTGGGGCTGGAAGGGAAATGACCGGGCAGACACAGCTTCCAGCGGCTCACGGCCATGCCCCCCAGGGACCGGCCACCCCCGTCGCTCAGCACCCGCAGCGGCCATGACCAGGGACCCGCTGAGAGGCTGGCGGAGGGCAGGGTGGGTGGACGCCTTTGGCCTGGGTGCTGGTCTGCTGCCGTGGGGAGCTGTGCCCACAGTCACGTGTGAGCTGCCCCTGCCCCCGGGAGGCCCAGTGGGGGACCGGAGTTTCTGGTGGCCGGTCACCAAGCCCTCCATTGGTGACCCCTCCACTGGTGATCCACTGGGGCACCCATCTCATTGCTGGTCCCGTTGGCTGGTTTGGCCATTGGTGGGGACTCGCCTGTCTCGGTGGGTCCCCTTCCCTTCCTGGGGCCACCCAGCCTTCCCTCGGGGCCTGTCCCTGGCTGCTGGGCCAAGGGACAGAAGCCCACTTGCCTCCTGTGCACTTTTTGGGGAGATCTGGGCATGAGCTGAAGGGAGGGGACCAGCGACCATGGCCTCACTGCCCAGTCACCAACGCACTTCACCGATAACCGCCTGCTGCCAGCAGCTCCGTGAGCTCAGCCCCCTGTTCAGCAGAGCAGCGGGGCCACCCTGAGCCAGACTGGACATGCCTGGAGGGGGGCAGGTGCCGCCACGGAGCAAAGGGGAAACTGAGGCTCAGGGTGGAGCAGATCAGCTTCCACAAGTGGAACCCGCCAGGGCTAGGACCCAGCTGTGCCAGGAGCACGGGCTCTGAAGTCGGGTTTCCTTCTGCCTCCCCGCCCCAGGGGCACGTGTGGCCTTGCCACCTTCTTGCTTAATCAGGACTGAGGCCAAACAACCTCAGAGTCCCGAGGCACCCCACATGGAAGCAAAGGCGGGGGCTGGGGGTGGGAAGGGAAATGACTGGGCAGAAAGGCCTCGGCAGCTCACGGCCATGCCCCCCAGGGACCGGCCACCCCCGCCCCTCGGCCCCCGCAGCCCTGTCAGCAGATCTCAGGTCCCGGTCCCCCGGACCCTCCCGGGGCTCCTCTGCTGACCAGAAGTGACGTTCAGGTGCGCAGGGTCGCTGAGGCCGGTCTGGTCAGTCTGGCACCTGTAGTTCCCAGTGTCGTTCACGGTGGCCTTAAAGCTGAAGTGGGGCTGGACCTGGGTCGGGATGGGGGTCCCGTCACGAGACCACTGGGTGGGGCCGTCCCCGGGGCCGTGGGGCCCCTGGCAGTGCAGAGTCACGCTGTCCCCCCGGAGCACGTTGAACCAGGGGGGCTCCAGGCGCACCACGGCCTTCGGGAGACCTGCTGAGGGGCGGAGAGAGGAGCCTGAGAGGGCAGGACCCGAGCGGCCTCCGACCTCAGACAGGGAGCCCCTGTGGTCCTGCTGGGGACACCAGGAGGAGAGGCAGCCCCGAACGGGGTGTGGCTGAGGACAAACCTGCCACCCCCCTTCGTGGGGCCTGGGCCTCTGGGGGGGGCGGCGCGGCTGCTCCGCGGGCTGGGCAAGAGCAAAGGAGAAAGCGGCAGGGGCCAGGCCGGACCCTAGAAAAAGGTAGCTCGCCAGGGAACCCCAGCCAGCTGGCGCTCTCTCTCCCTCTCTCTCACACACACACCCCTTGTGGGGACTCACTTCCCGCCCCTGAACCTGGACCCGGTGGGCAAACCCTCCCCAGAGCTGGGTGACAAAAGAGGGGCAGGTGCCAGACGGAGGGCCCAGTGCCTGGTTTCTGTCCTGACCCCAAGTCCTCCTCTATCCGTCAGGACAGACCTGCCCCCGCCCCAGGCACAGAAGGGCAGGGAAAGCACAGGAAAGGCCGGGGGCCAGTGCAGGGAGCCCTGGGCTCAGGCCCTGGGAGAGCCCCCCCCCCACACTCCCACCCTGTGGTCTGGGAGCCGTGATCCGTGCTCCGGGAAGCAGCGCCTGCACAGCTGCCCGGCGGCCGAAGGGCTGACTCCTCTCACGGTGGGACTGAGCACCTCCGCAGGGAGGAAGGTGGCTGAGGGGAGGGTGGGGTTACTCAGGTGACAGAGTCTATGCCTGTCCCCAGCACTGAACCAGAAGGCCAAAACCCCCAGCAGCTGGGAGCAGGGGGCAGAGGAAGGTGAGAGGGGAGGGAGCGGCTGCCTTCCCTGTCCCCAGCTGGGCCCAGGGGCTCGCAGATGTGCAGGCAGGTGCTGGGAGCAGAGTGGGAGGGCAGCTGGGGGCCCGGGGCTGGGCTTACCCTGTGGGCTGGGAGTCCCGGCTGCGGAGGCCAAGGGAGCTGCAGGAGAGAAGGCAACGTCACTGGTTGGCGCTGTGAACCACGTCCTGGCAGATGCCCGGCAGGCCCCGCCCTCCGCTGTCCAGTAAACCTCCCGTGTTGCCGTGCTGGGCCAGGCATCACTGAGACTGGCAGGCGGCGGGCGGACGGGCGACTCAGCAGACTCGTGGTCACTGTGTGCCCGACGACCCTGAGGTCCACGTGGCACTTTTCTCTCGTGCACGCGCTCTGCTGCCCTTGGGAGGGACTCTCCTGTCCTCTCCTGTCCCCTGGGACTCTGCCGTCTTCCCCCACCAGGTCCTCGGCCCGCCCGCCTCTCCACTCTGTTCTGTCCTCGCTCCGCTCCCTGCGGGACAGCAGCGTCTCCACCTCCCTGTGGGGCTGGTCCCCTCCCCCTCTCCAGGGTCCCTCTCTGCTGCCCTCTTTGTCCTCTGCACCCAGCTCCTCCTCAGCCCCGTGCTCCCAGTGGTGGCGGTGTGTTCCAACACCTTCCGCAAACAGAAGAACCTCTCCCCAGACCCCGCGCGGAATTCCACACTCATCTGTCCCTTCCCCTCACAGCCACACGGCTCCATTTTTTCTACGTAAGCCACCCTGTCTCCTCTGGTCACTGCGACATTCTCTGCCATAAGAGGGACATTCCCTCCCAGTCTCCCTATTCCACGCGACACCATCTACCCAGCCTCTCCCGCCCGGCGGCTGCCTTCTCCTTGCACCCTCCCCCAGGCCCCTCCCCCCTCACACCGCAGGTCTTGCTGGGTCTGCTTCCAACCCAGATCTTGGGTCCTGAGTGGCCCCCGGCCTCCCCCCATCTCCCGGCTTCTCTCCCTGCCTCTGTCTCCCCTACAACCCCTTTCCCGCCGAGACGCTATTTCAAACACACGGAACTGGATCTCATCCCTGTGTTCCCGTGTGCCTTCGACGGCCTTCCTTTGCTCTCAGCAGAAGATACGTCCGTGATCCCAAGGACACAGCTGCCCTCTGGGCTCCCTTCCCTGCTGACTGAGCTCCAGTCACACCAGCCGCCAACCCGGGCCTCCGTCTTTGCCGGCCCCTGCTCTGACTCTCCCAGGGGCTAAATGAACCGGCTTCAGTGGGGCCCCCAGGAAGACCCACATCACCCTGTGCCAGCAGGCTGCCCCGCCCCACAGCTGTCCCCGGGGCACCCCGTGGACGCCCCGCAGCCCTCCCCCAGCTGCGTTTGTGTCTCTGGGTCTGTTCAGCCCACTCGCACCCTCAGTGGGGTGAGCCCCCAAGCAGGGCCGCGGCCGAACTGACTGCAGGGCCCACACTCTGCCAACTGTCCCTTGAGTGACGCCAGGCGGGGGGTGCGACGGCCCCACATTGCAGCGACAACAGGAAGTGAAGGGGAGACTCAGGACGGACCTGGAAGAGGCGGGAGTGAGGGGAGCTGGCGCAGGACGAGGGTCCTGACCGGACAGAGGGTGGGGCGCAGGACGTGTGTGTGGGCAGCCAGACTTCGGGTGTGTCTTGTGCTGAGCCAGCAAGTCAGGGCCCGAGTGTCCCAGCAGCAGGTGGCACTGGGAAACTGCGCTGGACACCAGCTAGAGCGACAGGGTGGGGAGCTGCCGGGGGAGGGACAGCTGGAACCTGGAGCAGGCAGGCCGGGCCGGGGGCGGCGAGACAGGGGCCGGCCAGAGACACGGAGATGGGGGCGGAGGAGGCAGAGGAAAGAGCCGAGGACCTGCAGAGAAGCCCCCACCGTTCATTCCCCCCACAAACAGCCACGGACACCAAGTATTCACCCCCGCGGAGCCACCGCAAAGGGGTCACAGGCCGGCTGCAGGTCAGGGAGGCTGGCGCCCCGCTCGCTGACGGGTCCCTAGACCAGAGCCTGCGCCGGCGTTTACGGACTGTTTAAACCAGGCCGTTTGTGGCACCTGGGAACCAGGACGTACAGGACAGTGTGCCGGGTGGCAGAGGGCCCCTCGGACCTCTGGCCCCTGAGGCGTGGACTCGGGGAGCAGGAGGCAGGAGCCCCCAAGCCTGGGCGCTGTAAAAATTGTCGTTGAGAAGGATAGAAAAGGTGGCCCTGGCCGGATGGCTCAGTGGGTTGGAGCATCGTCTGTGCACCAAAAGCTGTGGGTTCAGTCCCTGGTGGGGGTACACATGGGAGGCAGCCGGTCGATGTTTCTCTCTCTCTCAGTTACATAAACATGTCCTTGGTTGAGGATTAAACAAAGAGTAGAAAAGAGGACCAGGTCCTTGGTGACGTAGCAAAAGGACAAATGAAAGGAAATGGCACAAGTCACCCGCAATCTTCCCAGGTGGCGGAGGTGGTGGCCGAGGGGCAGAGGCAGGTGGCCAGGCCTGAGTGTCACATGGGAGGCACCGTCACACTCAGGCCCCAGGGAGAGGTGTGTGTCTCCCTCTGGAGGTGAGTGAGGTGGCAGCTCCAGGAACTGGGCTTGGGGACAGTCCCGGCAGCAGGTCCCCTCGGTGGCCTGCCCTGGGCTCTTCCTCGCACCCGGCACCCAGCAGCCCCAGGCCCTGGCCCTGGCAGAGCTCGGTCAGCCTCCATCGTGGCCCGAGACCCTGGCTCCTTCCCTGACCGGGGCCCGGGCTGCACCTGCCTGCAGTGCAAGAAGGTGTGATGGGGTGTCCCCGGTGACCCCAGGGGAGGAGAGAGGCCTCTGCTGCCTGACACGGGGTTAGGGGAGCAGGGAGTAGCCACTGCCCCCCAGGTGTCCTCTGGCTTCCTCCCTACCCCCCGTCCGAGAGCCTTCCCCACGAGGAAGGAAAGCAGCCGCCCGCCCCCCGCCCCCAGTCACTCAAGTGCACGTCCCTAGACTTTCCTCGAAGCAGGTTGCTCAGAGGTGGTGGCGGCGGAGTGTCAGAGACCCAGGTGCCCGGGGAGGTTGGGCAAAAGACGCTTTAAAACCCGTCCCCCTCTGCCCCCGTCACCCTCTGCCCCCGTCACCCTCCGCCTTGCCGGCAGGTTGCCCGAGCGCGCTCTCCAGCAGCCCGACTTTGCTGACACCTGCCCAGGCCGTCTCACGTCCTTGCCCAGGCTCGGCGGCCCCACCCAGGGGGACACGCCGGCCCCATCCCTGCTCCTCTGCCCACCCCCCAGGGACCCTGACTCACCCAAGACTAGCAGGGCTGTCCACAGCAGCATGCGGCCCCAAGGACAGCAGGACGGGCAGCCAGCCCGGTCACTCGCGGCAGCAGGGAGGGGCAGGACGGCGGGAACCCCCATCGCCCCTGCAGCCGTGTCCCGGAGGCACCGGCAGGCCAGCCTGGACTCTCGGCAGGTTTCACTGGTTGCACCCCAGGGGACCGGCCGGCTCTGAAGTCCAAAAGCGGAAGTGAGAGGCAGTGTGTTATCTCAGGCCCCTCCCCGCCTCTTTCCTCCGAACTGCTCCCTCCCTGAAGACAGACGCGAGGCTTCCCAGAATCGGGCTCAGCCCGGCTCCAAATTCACCGAAATTTTAGAAACTGGGAAACAACTTCCACCTCTTCCTCTGGGGTCACCTCCGGGCTCAGCTTCGCGGAGAAACAGTCGTGGGACCGGGCTGGGGGCCTCCTGTCTCCTAAGAAAGGTGACTCCGGAGAGGGCGCAGGCGTGTCATGCTTGCAGTCCCATGGACAGGCCTGGACACCGGACAGGCCCTGCTGGAACCAGTGAAGGGCACAGACCCCCACCGTCACTGGGGGTCTTCCTTGTCCTAATCCCGACTCCCTTTTAGGGGTGGGACAAGGACGGGGAGGTGTGTCAGGACCAAGGGGACAACGGCGCTCATCCTCACTGTCCCCTTTCTCATCCGCCCGCCACCGTCTCCTGCATCCACCAAACTCCGGAGCACGCCAGCTGGTCCCGCCAGCCCGTTCGCATCTCAAGGGCTGGCGTACAAGCTCGGAGCTGCACCGGTGCGGGTGCGGAACCCCAGACAGTTTCCGGGGACTTCCGGCCCCTCGCCTGCAAAAAATGAAGGCCCTCCATGCAGGACTTTCTCAGAATCAGCACCGGTGACATTTGGGGCCAGGTGACCCCGTAGCGAGGACCTGCCCTACCTTGTCAGGTGTCTAGTACCCCTGGTTGTGAACACGGACGTGTCCCCTTGGTTGAGAAGTGACTTGGCAAAATAAAAAGGATTTGGGTGATTTCGAGGTGCCCATGCCAGGGGCGCATCCCCTGAACGCTTGCTTCCTTCTCTCACTTTCTGTCCTCACCCTCTCTGTCCTTGTCACCCAGGGCAGGCCCCGCCCAGTGTCCGCAAGGGGCAGTCAATCAATGCTCAAGGGCATGACACTGGCACCTGGGCCTTCAGAGCCTCAGCCCACGGGCCCTGACCACAGGCTCGGCCACCGGCCCCTCCAGCTCTTACCTGACTTGGAGTGAAAAACTCGTATCTTTTTCCGGGGGTGTTTTCTAGTCTGGTCTGTCATTGTTTTACTGTGACTCCTGCCAGCATGAGCCTCGGGGGCAGAGTCCTGCGGAGCAGGGCTCCCACCCGGCCACCCCGATGATGACACAGGATGACACAGCGTTGAGCCGAGGTCCGGAGGTCCCAGCTCAAGAGGTCAGGCACCACAGGACGTCACGGGCCCCTCCGCACACTCTGGAGAGCCGGGAGCCCGGTGGCCAGGGTGAGAGGCGCCCACGGCAGCAGCAGCAGGAAGCAGACAGACTGCGTCCCCCACGGCCGGGGTTGCATGGCCACAGTGCTCTCTGCCCCGGCCTGGAAGGGGACCGCTGCCGTCATGTTTCCCAGGAATCTATTCTACCCCTGGTTTCGCACCGAGGACCCCGCTGGGTCTGTGACTTTGTGACCTGCGGCGCTGCCTGTTGTGACATCTCCCTGGTCCCAGGGGCAGCCTCAGTCTCTCTGCACCAGGGGGAGCCCCCTCTGTACCCCGTCAGCCTCCCTGCCTCCAGGTCGCAGCCGCAGGAAGAGACTGAGCAGCAGCGCCCGGCAGGTGAGCCCTGGCGGATTCCCTCCCACCCCCGCTGTGCTCTCGCTCCCACGGCCAGGCCACCTGTGTGGGAGCCCGGCCCGAGTCCCTGTCACCTCTGCAGGACGGGCGCCCCCTCACACCCGGGGAGCACAGGAGGCAAACGGTGGGAGCTGTGGCTCCGGCCAAGCGCCCGCGGCCAGGCCGCCGCGCCGCCCTGGGCGGCACCTCTCAGCCCACTCACATGGGAGTTCCCAGGAGGCTCCAGGGTTCAGAGGCGCCTGGCAGGTCCCTCACCCTCCAGCTCGCAGCAATTAGGGCAGTGCAGCTGCCCCTCAAAAGCCCCTAGACTCTCCAGCCAAAGCCCAAAGTCAAGGGCTAGGAGAACCCTTGGTTGTCTTCTGGCTGAAGAGGGAGGTGCCTGCCCTGCGGAAAACACCACTTGGTGCCCTGGATTCGCACTTTGGGGGAAGCGGAGACTCGGCCACAAGAGGCCATTGAACAAGCCGCTTGGCCTGAGCGTGTGGTCTCTTCAGCAAGGTCCCCGATCTCTCCCGTCTGGGTCGGTTCGGGTGGGGGCGGGGCGGCTTTGGTGCCCCCTCTGAGTGCGGGCTGTCCTTCTGCCAACGGTCTCCGGGGGGCTCCCTTCTCACCAAAGCTTTACATGCAAGCACACGGCCACTGGTGACCAGACAGGGGGCCCCCCCTCGATGAAGACCCCAACGATGGGATGAAGGAAACAGCCAGGTGAGGGCCGAGCCCTCGACGTGCCAGACTGTGAGTTCCAGTTCGGGAGCCACCCTGACCCCACAGCAGCACCGGGGATCTCACTACCGAGCAAGGCGGGGACGGGGAGGATGACGGAGCTCATTCCTGCCGCACACGCCCCAGGATGCACAGAACGGGCGCAGCCCCGACCGCCCGGTCCACTGCGCAAACCTACGGTCAGTCATCCTGTGCCGGGTCGGCCAGTCTCGGTCCCCAGCCCAGCTGGCCACCTGGCCCTGCCCTGGAAAACAGGACCCGCTGGCCCCTCTGTCACGCCTCACGTCCGAGTCCCCTCTTTGACTCCCTCTCAAACTCGATCCGGCCCGAGTCCCCGGGGAGGAGGGCTCCCCCACCCACGGACGGCTTTCCCTTGAGTAAAGGGCATCCAAATCGCTCCTTAAATGCTGAGCTTGGTCAGTTGATGGAGCAACAGCACCGAGCAATGGACCCAGTGAGAGACCGAAGTTCACGGTCCGGTGGCAGGCACCTGAAGGTCCCCAGGAGGACTTGACAGGTGGGAGGACGCCCTGCCGACCCCCACCCAGGACGAGCCCATCACAGGACACTCTTATCCCCAGGCTTGAATCAGCATAACAGCTGCCCTCTCCTGTTTGTCCTGACAACCTCCCAGAAGTCTCTCCCCCACCAACAGAACCTTCTTCCGTCTTTAGCTGAAGACGGTATTTAAGGTGGTGTCGTGGGCCATTTGGGGGAGTTACTTGGTTTTCCTGCGTTTGACGACATGAGACTCAGCATACGCGGCTGCTTTTGGGCTTGTGGTCTTGTTTTGAACAATTCTCAACGCAGAACCTGGCCTTTAGCGTTTATCATTGTTTAAGATGAAGAGAACCCAGCCCACGGTTCCCAGTGGGGACTGGCGTGGGTGGTCCCACTCCGAGCAGGACAGGCGCCCCCCGAGGCTCCAGCTCTGGACGCTGAGCATCCAGCCACTCGGCTCGGCGAGCACTGTTTTCTGCGTCTTCTGCTTGACTGGGTGTCATTTCTCTTCCTCCTGACACCCTGACCACGCACGCCCTGGTCCCTGCCAGTGGTTGCTGCCCCGTTCGCTCTAGGATTTCCTCCTTCCCGCGCTTCCTGCGAGCTGGGCTGCCCGGCATCGCCACAGTCAACTGCTGACCCCACCGCGGAGGAAGTTCGGGCGGAAAGGCAACCACAGAAGGAGAAGCAGGGCGGCAATGGGCGAGGCGTTTTTGGCGGCCGGCCTGGAAAGGTCCCCCGAGAGCTGGGGTCCGTGTGGGAAAGCGGCCTGGCCTCTAACGGTCTTCTCAGTGACGCAGACGCTCGGGGCTCGTGACCAGTGGTGAGTCCAGGGCGCGGCTTGCTCGCCGCTCTGGTTCGGAACTGGCGCCGGCGGGTCGAGAGGAGAGAGGAGAGGAGCTACCAGGAGGCCAACGCCCGTGACAAAGGGGGGTCTGTCTCTGAGGACCTGGGTTAGGAGGGGAGCGATGAGACCTGGTCGTACGTATTTGTTTTTATTTTTAAATTTAAGTGTGGCTGGCACACAAGTAGCGGCGTGAGTTTCGGGTGCCCAGCACAGAGATCCGACGTTTTCCCACCTCACGCTGTGCTCACCCCACCGATTCACCTGTCACCGTGCGGACTTGTCACAGTGTCACCGACTATTATCCCTTCGCCTTTCTCAGGCACCCGCCTCCCTCCCCTCTCCTCCCCGGCAACCACCTCTGGGCGTCTGTTTCCGTGAATCTGTTTGTTCAGTTCCACTTGGTTGGTTGGTTTCTTCATATTCTACACTTTTCTTTCCCTGACTTATTTCACTGAGGCTAATGCCCAGCGGTGAACCCGTGCGGTCGGAAACGACAACATTTCGCTCTTTTTTATCGCAATATCGCACTGGATGCTTGCAGTGTGTGTCCATTTGTAGACGGACCCGGAGACCGGGCGTCAGACCGGCTCTGCCGCTGCGTGGTCTGGCCCCCCCCCACCGATTCTCTGGGCCTCGGCAAGGGATTCGAAAAGGTTCATCTTTATCGGGCACGACTTTTGCAAATATTTTCTCCCTGCCTGTCCATGGCTTGACTTCTCCCTCTCTTGACCATGTCTTGCACAGAACAGAAGTTTTAATTGAATAAAGTTCAGCGTGCCACTTATTTCGTCCACGGGTCAGACTTCTGGTGCTGTATCTAGAAGACATGGCCACATCTGAGGTCATCTAGGTCTCTCTTCTGGGTCATCTTTTAGGAGTTGTCATGGTTTTGCATTTTTACATTTAAGTCTGTGATCTGTTTTGAGACAATTCTAGTGAAGGACACAAGTCAGTGTTTAGAATCACTGGGGTTTTTTTTTGCACGTGGTTGTGCAGTTCTTCCAGCCATTTGTTAAAAAGATGACCTTTCCTCCATTGTACTGCCCTTGCTCCTTCGTCAAGGTCACCGGGCCGCGTTCCTGGGGTCAGTTTCTGGGCTTCTCTGTTCCATTCCATTCGCTCATTTGTCTGTTCTTTCGCCGATGGCCACCTGCCATGTGAGAGCGTCAGCCTGCGTGCTGATGAAGACAAGTCCTGCCTCACTGCCAGTTCACCCAGCTGACCGTCCCTTCAGTTCTAACGACCAGCGAGAGGGGGCCACCTTCTGCCACCGTCGGGAGGCGAGAGCTGGGAGCCCGAGGGA